TACCCATGTGTAATGCACATTCTTATTTTCCCCTCAAAAACTTGGGTGAAAAGTGTACATTATATGTTGCAAAATTTGGTAATTGGCTATTTAAACAGAAATACAAACAATGCAGCATGTGCTTTATAACATATATAAAAGGGAAATTTATAATAATAGCACAAAGGAAAGAGAGGGAAAATATAAACATAATATATTACCAGATTCTTATAATACACATAAAACATCATAATATCCACTTGTAGGCTAACTGTGGTAAGTTAAGGATGCACATTATAAATACTAAAGCAACCACTAAATTAATAAAATCAAGTGATATAGCTAATAACTGAAGAAAAATATAAAATGGAATAATAAAAAATTCAATAAATACTAAAGGAAGAACAAAAAAAAAAGGAATAACAGTATGTGGGACAAGTAGAAAACAAATATCAATACTATAGAGCAGCAGTTCTCAACCTGTGGGACCCACAGGAACTGTATTAAAGGGCTGTGGCATTAGGAAGGTTGAGAACCACTACTATAAAGATTTAAACCATACCGTATCTATAATCGTATTAAATGTAAATGACGCAAATTAAAAGGTTAACTTCGATTAAAAGAACAGAATGCCAAAATAGATAAAATGGCAACAGTCAATTATTTGCTGCCTATAAGAAATAAACGTTAAATGTAAAGAGACAAGTAGGGAGAGTTCAGCAAGCTCCTACCCAAAGAAAAGTGTGCACATGGCACACTTCCTGGATGAAGGAAACAGCTACAATTTGGACTTTCCCTTACAAATGTAAGCAATATAACCTAAAACTGTGTGCTCTCATATTCATCTAAAATAATTAACTAATTAGATAATATTTAAAAAATTAAAAAAGAAAGTAAAAGAATGAAAAAATATATACCATGCTAACACTAGTCAAATGAAAGTTGGAATTGCTCTGTTAATATTAGACAAAATAGATTTCTAAGCAAAATATATTACCAGAGATAAAGTTATTTCAAAAATGGTAATCAGGTCATCAAACAAGACATAAGAATGCTGAACATTTATGTACCTAATACAACATTTCACAATACATAAAGTAAAAATTACCAGGAGAGATAGAAAAATGCCAAATTGTCTTGAAAACTTCAACATTTCCCTTCAATAACTGACAGAACTATTAGACAGAAAATCAGCCAATGAATAGAATATTTAAGCAACATAATTAATGAATTTAACCTAATTGATACTTCTAGAACATTTTACCTAACAATAGAAGAATACACAACCTTTTCAAGGGCACAAGGAACATTTACTAAGACAGGTCATACTGTGGGTCATAAAAGAAGTCTTAATACATTTTAAAAGATGCAAGTAATATGAACTATGTTTTGTAACCACAATAGAATTAAATTAGAAATAAATAACACAACCCCTGTGGAAAATCTCCAAATATTTGCAAACTAAATACCATACTTCTAAATAATACATTGGTTAAAGAAGAAACTAAAATGGAAATTAAAAAGTATTTTGAACTGAATTAAGATGGCAAAAATTAAATAAAACTAGCAAGATACCACATAACAGTGCTTATGCAATGAACACCTATGTTATCATAGAAATGATGAAAGGTCTCAAGTCAATAACCTATGCTCCACCTATGCAGAAGGAAAGAATAACTAAAACCAGAGTACAAATCAATCAAATAGAAAAATCGAGAAAATTATTGACTTGAAGAACATGAACTGCCAGAACTTACTCAGGAAAATAAAGATATGACTATAATTAAAGTAATTAATTTGTAGTTTTAATCCTTCCCCATAATAAAAATCCAAACCTAGCAGTTTAACAGTTGAGTTGTAACCTACCAAATACTTAGAGAATCATTGAGAATTAAAATTATGTCACCAAAAGGACAAATTTATAAATGGAAAGTTTGTAGAAGTCAAAATAGTTTTCCTTCTTTAGGCACTGTTAAAAGAATGAAAAAGGTACATCACAGAGTAGGAGGGAAAATTTACAAATTATATATCAGATAAAGGATTGTATGCAGAATATATCAAGAACTCTCAAAACCAAACAATGAGATGACAAATAACCCAATTCAAAAGCAATGTATAAGGATAAAAGATTTAAGGAGACATTTCATCAGAGAAGATATTCAGATATCAAAAAAGCACCTGAAGAGATATCCAACATCACTAGTCAATTAGAAAATGCAAATTAAAACCAAAATGAGGTACCACCACTCCTTAATAATGGTTAAAAATATTAATTTTTTTTAAACGTCTAAACCAAGTATTGTCAAGAACGTGGAGGAATAGAGGCTCTCATACAGTGCTGCTGGGCATAGACAATGGTCAAACCACTCTGAAAACAGTGTGACAATGTTTTAAAAAGTTAAATGTATATCTACCATACTTCAGTCATTCTACTTGGAGATATTTACCCAAAAGACATGAAAGCATATGTTCATACAAAGATTTGTACATGACTGTTCATAATAGTTTTATTTGTAATAGGCAAAAATTATAAACAAACCAAAAAACTATAGAAAATGACTGGTTAAACCAACCATGGTATAGCCGTACAATGGAGCAACACTCAGCAATAAAAAGGACTGAGCTATCGATAGGCACCTAACCTGAATGAATCTAGAAATGATTGTCCCGAATGAAAGAAGTCAGTTGAAGGAGTACCTACCGTACGATCTCATCTATATGATGCTCTGGGAAATGCAAACTAATATACAGTAACAGAAAGCAGATCAGTCGCTCTGGGGGATGGAAAAGTAGGAACGTGGCGGGGCATGAGGAAACTCTGGGGGATGGTAAATATGCTGACTGTCTGTGTAATGCTTTCATTATGTGTACACACGTTAAAACACATGAATTTGGATTGTTTAAATGTGTACCGTGTATTTTATGTCATTGTATGTCAATTAAACTTCAGTAAAGTTGTTAAATCAAGGGACAGAGCAAGTTACGGATTATGGTTATTTCCATGTCACAGTTCAGAAAGAGGAAATAAAACTGTCTCTAAAACATCTTGTTGCCTGAGGTATGCTTCATAAAATTATGACTGTGCCTTGCACATAAGGATTATCAAAATGGGAAATTTTTATTAAGGCAATATTTAAAATTGTTGCATGGCTAAAATAATCTCCTCTTTCAAACAGGCTCTGCACATGGCTTCCAAACTCTCGGAGACAAGCAACGCCCAGTGAATGGAACGTCTCCCATCTTCTTGTCTCTCTCTGGCTCACTGGGCGCATTCTGAAGTAAAATGTGACAGGCAAGGTGAGAGCCACAGAGATGCCAGCTCCCTGGAATAAGTCACACGTTTTAATCTGCATAGCTAACAGTGAATTTTTGCTTGGAAAACAGATATAAATGGAAAATTCCTGACTGCTCCCCATCAGCAAGTGTAATTTAGCAGTGCAGAAATCTGTCTGAAAATCTGTTAACTTAAGTGCATAGAGTGGTCTCTGCCAGTTCCCTTTTTTTCCCTAACACAATGAAATCTTGAAAAACTGCACTCTGAAGTTTCCCTGAATCATAGCTTACGATATATTCATTGTTTCTCGGCTTGACTTAAGCTGTATTTCTTGGTTATTTAATCATATAGATTAAAATCTAACATACAAAGAACTACACAACTGAATAGGCAAGAATGCAGTTATGTTAAAAATAATATGTCACTTACTTAAAGTGTTAAGATATTTCCTTGGTTTAGCATTATCATGAATCAGCCAAGAACTCCTGTGTCTACAAAGCGACACAGGCAAGATGGCATTTAACCTAACACACAGGTATCCTTCAACCTCCTTTTATACCTACAATAGGCACTGAAAATGATAGAAGTCCAGAGATACACGTGCAGGAATCTCAGAATTCAAGATAAATGATAAATAAATAAATGCTTTGGGATAGGTTGGTTTATATTTAGAAAGAAAAACTAATGGTTTCACAAACTATGATAATAAAATTTGCTATTCACTTCTTGGAGATATCCAATAGCGCCATTGGAAAGTAGCGCAATAAAGTAGTACAGTAATACCAATAAAATTTGCTATCTTGGAGATATCCAGTAGTGCCTTGGCAAGTTGGTAACCAGCTTGTGGAGGAAGGGCATTTGGCATTTTGGCATCTGGTGGCCTTTGCTGGTGTCTGTGGTGTGTATGTTTACACAATGGCTGCTTTTAGGCAGATTTAACAGAATATGAAGTTGGGAAGAGAAGTGAACAATAGGGTCTCCTGAGCTTGATGATGAGCTGGTTTAAAATCATCTCATGAGAAATAATTCATATGTGACTACAGCTAACGCCAATCCTATAATAATGATAAACTGAGTTTCTAGATATGTCTATGTGTTTCATTCAACTGAGAGTCTTCAATCTGAAGCTATCTTTTAACTTGCGACAATAAATTTCCATCTGAAAAAAAAAATGACCTTTAGAATGTAGTAGTCATTACCCAACATCATATATTTGAAATATCTTGACTTTGAAGTATTCAATAAATTTGCTGTTCTTGAGCAGGAATCTTTATCTATTCAAATTGAGTGCTTATTGTTAGTCTCCCCAAAAGTGAAAAGGAAAGTAAACAAACAGGACACAACATTTGAATACTGATCTTAGACAAAAATTAACCTGACATAACCTGTTAGTAAGGAAGAAGGGTGGTTAGGAGATAAAGTCAAACAGACCTTGCATCATAGACCTTAGATGCCCCACCTCTGAGTAGAGGTGTGGGTTTGTGTTTGTATTTTTGCCCTAAGAGAGTCTTGTCTTACAATAATAGGAATTAATAAGGGGAGATCAAAAGCCATCTTTTTGTGGTGTTTTCCACAAAGAGAGACTTTCTTGAAAGCTTTATAAGAAAAACAAATAGAAAAAAAATAAACTTATCAAACTAGAAGTTCAACAAAAAAGGAGAAAAACAAGAGCAACAACAGTTCTAGCATTTCAACACAACTGTAGCAAAGAAACAATAAAAGGAGTAACGAAAGAGCAGACATATACCCAAGTTCTGAGTCTGACTGCAGCTGGAGCACTGAGGGGTCTGTGTCCCACTGCAGGGTCCTAATCGTGCAGCACAAAGGAAAAAAGAACACAGAGAATTAACAAAAGGGGAGGGCAACAAACCAAACCAAACTGTGTCATTCTTAAGGCAAGAGCTTGTACAATACATACACAGAACATGCCCCCCACCCCTTCACCCTTAGCAACCCCCAAAGGACAAGAGAAAACCAAGAGCCACCATTTCCTTTGAACATCTGTTTGATGTTGGAAGCTATGGTTGTTTTCCTAGAAGGAAGCCCAGAGCCAAATTTTCAAACTCCACACACACTCCCACCCTTTGTTTTGTTTTGTTTTGTACCCAGACATCATTGACTTGAGCATGTGAACCACTGCTCTGACACCCCAGAGCCCATCCACATCTGGGAGCTCCAAGCATCTTCCACGCAGTAAGGAGAACTAAATAGAAGGGTACAAAAGGGCCAGGGCAGGAGTGTCTAGGAAGTCAGGCTGGTGGGAACACGACTGTGTGGCCTGGTGAATGGCTGGCTTCCTCAGGCCCCATACTGCAAACATAATGGGTTAGATTTCAAGACTCACAGGTATTTTTGTGTGTATTTAGATATAGCACACTGAGGTGGGCACCAATAATATCATTTGTCTTTAAGATGTCAGGGATCAGTTACATCTTCTATTGTTTAAATATTGTACAAAAAATAGCACAAAGTATCAACAGTTACCAAGGCATCCAATTCTCTTGTTATTTCACCTTCAGAATAATGAGAATACCAGGCAGAGAAATCATACAAGCTCGACAAAGTCTAGATAGTTGAAATGCTATCAGATCACAAACAAGGACTGTTTTCCGGCAGGCTTTTAAAATTTCCCACACAGAAATAAGTTAGAGGTGAATCAAGCAGGCAACCACTGGCTTGAAAAGTGCAGATTTTGAGGTTAGGACCTTGCCTATACCAGTCTACAGCCCAGAGGTTGGGGGGGTCATAGCTATAAAGTATATCAGAACCAGTGGACATTCAGAAGCTGCTCTTGCTTCTGCCACACCCACTCTGACTACTATTAAGAGTTAATGCCCTACCTTGGTAAAGATCCCATGTTAGCTCCTCCTGTACAGGTACCAGAATGTGGTTTCATAGCTTCCTTTCTATGCTCTGGGTACTCTTGTCTTCTTATATAAATGCTCTCAAAGGTGATAACTGAAGACCAGTGAGAACACTAACTAGCCACTGTTTCTTAGACCAGTGCTTCTCAGACTTCAATGCACATACAGATACCTGGATTGTTGCTAAAACGCAGAGTCTGATTTGGAAGGGGGCCTGGCACTCTCCATTTTGAACAAGCTCCAAGGAATGTGGATACTGATGGTCTGTGGACCAGAGTTTCAGCAACAAGGACTCAGATAAATAGCTCTTAAAACTTTAATGTTCATCAGAATGACCTGAGAGGGTTACTAAAATACAGAAGACTGATCCCTGAACCCAGAATTTCTGATTCAGTAGATCCGGAGAGGGGCCTGAGAATACACATTTTTAACAAGTTCCCAGGTAATGTTACAAGGCTGATGGTGGGATCACTCTCGGAGAAGGACTTGGCTGGACTATCACTTTCAGTAGTCAGCATACAAAAAGCATCACTGATGTTCAAATACATCAGCATTTGAACTTGTGATTTACTGAAACCGGGCTGCAGGCCCAGGGCATTTCCGGACCAATTAAATCAGAATGTCTGAGGTGGGACTCAGCCATCCCTGTTTTTGAAAGCTTTCCAGGAGAATCTAATGTGCAGCCAGGGGTGAGAACCCTAGCTCTGAACTCAAGAAAACCAGCTCTTACTGGTTCTAGAGACTGATTCTTTCACCTCATTTCAAATGGAAGTAATGGAATCCATTAAAATAATTCATACTTGCTGTTCACGTATCTCTGGGCATCAAATGTAAAGACGCTTATTTGCTCTAGACAGAACAGCCTCCAGCTCTTGCGGACCTGACAGAAGAAGCAGTGGCTTGCAGTGGGTGGGAGCAGATACTTTGCCCTCAATTTATAGCTGAAGTTTCTGATGAGGTGACCTTTGTTGACCTTTTCCACTTCTTCCTGGCAGGTGAAGCATGCAGCAGCTCCCAGGCGTCTGTCTCTGTTAATGCTTTATTAGATGGATCACCTGAACTCACTGCAGCCTTCAGGAGTTTGCATATTGAATCTACCAGAATCACCCACTTAAGAAGTCCCCGGATTAGTACTCTGCAGTTTGCATTTACTCAGACAGAACAACAAAGGCGGTGCTGTATACGTGACCAACCCCACAATAGCTCTGCCCCAGGCCCAGTTGCACATATACCATCCAGCATAAGATTTCACCGTCAGTGACAAGCTGCAAGCTGTATGGTAAGGAGAAGCGCTAAGAGGGCTCTCACGTGTCCCGGGTTTTCTTTTCCTTCTTCTCATTATTATCTGTGGGTGGTCAGATTTGCACAGAATGTACTTTTTTTTTTTTTTTTAGAAGAAAACTTAAAGCTAGTATATTCAATGGACAAAGGCTGTTTCCAAGGGAAAGGCTAGGAATGCTTATTAAACATTTGCTGAATTCCTTCTGTGCAAACTTACAGGAAAACATCCACATGGCTGGCAGTACCTTAGAGAGGGTCCTATCTGGCCTGGGGGCGGGAGCTCTGTGTTCTGGGCGTGGCTCACAGAGTCAGCACAGAAATCTTCTGCCCCAGCAAATTGAGACTGTGGTCCTCACGGCCCTTTAAAGTGCTTCTCTGTTTGCTATTTCAAAATATAGGTTGATTATTACTCTGCCTTTTAGCTTTCTCTTCTCCAGCTGGAATAATTTATTGAACCAATTGACAGAGACCTCACTTTCCAACCATTTTATCAAGTAATCGTGTCACTGAAAAGAAAATGATGATTTCTCCCAAAGCTTGTTGGGAATTTTGAAATCTTTCCAGGTAGTTTATTTATAAAATAAAAAGGAGTGAAATTATAGGTAAATATATGGAAAAACATACTCTTAAAAATTCTTTTCACGCAGAAACCTCCTGTTCACTATATTAGTGGTATTTTTTTTAGTCTCTGGACTGGCCCAATCAGTGCATGCAGGGGAGAGAACGTTTTTGATAAGTAAATTCATTTACTTATTTAATATACATATATTAAGGGCCTACTACATGAAATTCTGCGATAGAGGATCAAAAGAGTGCTCAAGGAATTCTGAAGTTTAGAAGAATTGCATATATAAATAATTAATAGAAGCATATGTAAATAATTTAATAGAACAAGGCAGAAAATAAAATGTGCCATATAGAGGGCACCACAGGTGTAGGGAGGGGCGTGGGACTTACACTTCAGAATTTTACAGTTTGGTAAAGCAATTGATACATACAAATATTTATGCCTAATGACATACTGATAACATTTAAGGAAGACCGTAGTTCTCATCACTTGTCCAGGCCTGGCACAGTTTAAAATTTCAATGAATATAAGCTGAAAAAATTTTTTTAAATGCTATAAGACAAAGAATTAGTGATAGTTTCCTTTCCCTGAGTGTTTATTCTGTGCAAGCCAGTCATGTACTGGACTATACTCCACTATCCTTTGGGAGCTAGAACAAGGAGATAAACTTCCTCTGAAAAGATTAGAAATTCCATTTAACCTGCTCTTAAAGGATAGGCCAAATCTGGACAAAACCTCATTTTCATCAGTGCTCAGTTTATTGAATTTAGAACACTGAGTTTATCTACTAAATCTTATGAGACTATTATACTTTTGATGTCAGTTTACCAATTTGCCATGAGAATAATGAGAATACCAGGCAGAGAAATCATACGAGCTTGACCAAGTCTTGTTTAAGCTGAACTCCTAGGAAGCCAGTTGACCAGCAGTGTCTTTGGGATTAGAACAGGTCAAGCTGAATGCTTAGTTCTGAGAGTTTCCCCTGCCTGCCACATACCATGTCTTTATTTTCCCCCAAGACCAGAATCCTTCCCACTGCTGCTCAGGTGTTCCCTTTATCGAATCCTGGGCTGACTAACTCAGCCCTTGCTGATTGATACAATTTTTCTTTAATTACGTCAATTGGATTTTTGTACAGTGTTCGCAGCTGGGAAACCATCCAGGTTTTGTTTGTTGGCTTATTTTCATAAGTAGCGTTTTGTCTGCTCTGATCGGTTTTAGCTGATACCTTAGGTTGACTCTCTGAGAGTCTGAGTGAGGATGTCCTCCGATCTCTTTCACAGGAACCTGCTGTTTGCACAGATTCCGAATAACCCAACTCTTTCTTATCTACTCTGGGGTCAGGGGCATTGCCATGGTTCTATGGTGCCATAGTTGGACTGGCAATTCTGGACATGCCAACCAAGTTCACATTTCCAACTTTGTTTCAAAACACTAGGTACAGAGGCTTCCCACAACATGGAAACAAATCATTCATTTATTTGACCCCGAATATACCGAACAATGCAGGCTCTGGCATCTCACCCAGAAAGGGCTGCCTTGTAACTTGTTACTTTGTACCAGTTAGTTTACAATTTGTGGGTTAATTTGTTTTTCACTATTTGTGTTTATAGACGTATAGACAAAACATCAAAAGTCTTCAAACCAGCAGTGACTTGCTAAGAGAGTAAACAAACTTCGTATTTTCAATCTTTTACCAATTCATTACTATCCAACTTTTTATTAACATACTAATAAAATTCCCCTTCATTGGCCCAATTTTATTTGCTCAGTTTCAGCTTATGAGGTGTAGAAGGAAGTAAAAATTAAAAGAAAATTCTTGACCACCTGTTAAAGTATAGCTTAGGAGTGAAAGACACGATGTTGGTGTTGCATATACCTTGCCCTCTAATGAGTGGTTAATTTCTTCCTGGTCAGTTCTTACGGACGGTAAGTTGGTAGTTTTTAATCTTCTATCTTTATTAGACCTCGGAATAAAAAACCTTAGAATTCTTCCCTGAAGAGTGCTTTTGCTCTTGTCTTTTATGGGTTTGGGCTATAATAAAGAGTTGTCCAGTGAATATTTGGAAGGCAGTAGTTAAGAAATGTCATTTG